CCACCACTGCCCAGAGGTGGCTGCATTCTGACAGCCAAGATTGGAGATGCTCTGTCTCTGCCTACAGGGATTTAGAGCCCCAGAGGAGCTGCAGGGTTGAGGCAGAAAATGAAGAGAAGAGATACCCTGGCTTCGCCTTTCCTCCAGTCCTCCATTCTTCTAGCACCTTCCATTGCTGAGTGGAGATGGCTGCCTGAAAACATACAAAGCCGAGCTGAGAAAGAGGAAAGGCCTGGGGAGTGCACTCTGGTATTGGACACAGGACAGATGTCATATTCTCCAAATATAAATGCTCTTGCAGAACAGCATTCACTTAGGAACAGGCACAGCTTGAGTCGCTCTCTGTGCTGGTCATTTTTTTTTTTCAACTTGACACAAGTTACAGTTATTTGGAAAGAAGGCCCCTTAATTGAGAAAACTGGTCTATCAGACCAGCCCGTGGGCAAGGCTGTGGGGCATTTTGTTGATTAGTGATTGATGGGGGTGGTGCCGCTCCCAGGCAGGTGATCATCAGTTGTATAAGAAAGTAGGCTGAGCAAGCTGTGGGGAGCAAGCCAGTCAGCAGTGTTCCTCCGTGGCTTTGCTTCACAGGCCATGACCGAGAGGCTGGAGTGTTCTTCTGTAGGAGCCAGGCTGTAAGCAAATCCAAATAGTCCCAGCACACAGTCCGTGGAGTCATGGGGAGATAAATTGAGGCTCTACCCAGTGACCTACTATTATCCTCCAGCCCCCAGCCTCCGAGTCTTCCAGCTTCGGTCCCAGATGTGAAGAAGCAGAGAGATGAGCTGCTGTCTGTGCTGTCCTCATCTGATCTTTAGACTCCATCACTGTGCTGGGTCTGTGTACTTACCATTAAGTCTCGGAAAATGTTATCACCCAGCTTTTAAAACGGAGACAGCTGGAGAGGTTGAGTACATAGTTGGAGTCAGGGCAATGTTGCCTGAGTCTTGGTTATTGTCTTTATGGAGATGGAATCCCAACTAATAATTGGGTTTGGCTTATGAGGACCAGGGAGTTTGGCTCATCTCTCTGCAAAAGTCTTAAACTTTCTGTTGGGTCTCAGCTCTTTAAAGAATTCACTTCTTCATCTAACAAGAAGACTTTATACGCTCAAGCATGAGACAGGCACAGAGCAAATCTCAGAGAACCAATGACTTTATAAGTAAATATGTAATCCCCAACAGAGAAAATGCTTCAAGGCCACGGTCAGTGCCTGCTGCTCAAGAGGGTAAGAGAGGACCTAGATTCTGTTTGGGATGTTGGTAAAGTGTCTGCTGGCTACTTTTTAAGTCAACTTGATACAACCTGGAGCTTTTTGGGAAGAGGGACCCTTAGCTGAGAAAACCTCAACCTGCCCTATGGACAAGCATGTGGGGCATTTTGTAGATTAACGACTGATGTGGAAGGCCCAGCCCACTGTGGGTGATGCTAGCCCTGGGCAAGTGATCCTGGATTGTAAAACAAACTGAGCAGGCCACGGAGAGCAAGACAGTAAGCAGCATTCCTCCATGGGTCCCGCCTCCAGGTTTCCACCTTGAGCTCTTGCCTTTACTTCCCTCAGTGATGGACTGTGATGTGGAAGTGTAAGCCTAGTAAACTCTTTCCTCCTCAAATTGCTTATGTTTTCAAGGTCTTATCACAGCAATACAAATCCTACCTAAGATAGTGTCTTTTAGGAAGGGGACCCCTCCTCTCCTTCCCTGCATCCTTCCCACTCGCCTTCCTTCTGTTTTTCTGACTTCACGTCTTTAAAGGCATGAAAGGGATTGGAACGTGGCCTACCCTGTGGTGCTGAGGATGAAACCGAGGGTTTAGAGCATCCTAGGTGAGTACTGTCACCAAGTTACATCCCCAGGGACTTTAAAAAAAATTTTTTTAAATGGTAGTTGGATATACACATACTAAACAGCAATCTCCTGCATGACTTTAGAAACCTCTATGGGCATTTACTGGGAAATGCATAGAAAGCAGGGACTCTCTGAGGAACGTTGTCAACTTGATTACATCTAGAATCAACTAATCAAAGCAGTTGGTATGCCTGGGGGGGATTTCTTTGGATTATTAGAGGAAAAAAAAAAACCTAAATTCTACACCTTCTGGCAGCTGCCTATATTAAAGGACGTAGAAGAAGGAAGCTTTTGTTTTTTTCCTGCTTGCTCTCACTCTGGATGGCAAGTTCATCTATCCTGTTGCTGAGGCATTCTTCCATGGGATTCCAACATAGACTGAACACTAGCTGAGACATTCGACCTCATGGACTAAAACAACTACTGGGTTTGTTGGCGTTTCTGAGAGGCAGGCGTTGTTGGACTAGCTGGATGACAGTCTATCAGCCACTCTTATGAACCCTGTTTGTGTGTATATACATATATTTGAAGAGTGATCCTTAGTCCCTGGGAGCCAGAGAGCACAGTTTATGGGCCATGTCTCAGCCAGGATCTTCTGCTTCCAGAAACCCAAGTGCAAGGAGTAAGAACTAGTTCTGGAGAAGGAGAAGTTTACACACAGGCAAGAGAAAGAACCAGTTGTATTTGGGAAACCCAGAGGAGTGGAGATTACTTGCAGAGTGTGGATAAGCTCCAGGAACAAGTCAAGTCTGTCCCAGCCACTGTCACATGCCTGTGTTTGTCAATCATAGCCCAGGAAAATGGAAGAAATAGCTCCTTGAGTAGGTCTTGAAAGGAAAGGGTGGGCCTGAGGCTGGTCCAGAAGCACCTGATCTCCCCTCCATTAACAGGGTGGTGGTGGATGCTTTCTGTGTGTGCAATTGCTCCTTCCCATCTGCCTGCCATGGTACCTGTCAAGTGCAGCACTCTCCCAAGTGTAGCTGTGATGTGGACCTGATGGTGGGCACTCACAGTTGGCACACCCCACCCACCTTCCACTCTGAGTGGCAGCTATTACTCTGCCTGTGACTGCACCCTCCACCTATAACATGCTCAATAGATGTCACCTCAATACGCAACCTGACTTTTAAAACTATTGTGCTTATGGTGTATGTGTGTATGTATGTGTGTGTGTGTGTATTCCAAGGACAATTGGCAGGAGTTGTTTCTATCCCTTTACCACGTGGGTCCCAAGGATCCAATTTGCGTCTTCAGGCTTGGCAGCAAGGGCCTTTACCCACTCTCCATCTCTCCAGTTCACACAGCCTGACTCAAAAGCCACACTCCTGTTTCTTACTACTCCGAGGAACCCAGGGTTTCTACAACAGTCAGGAAGGTACAGCCTGGGCAGAAAGAGCTGGAGCGATCTGGACAGGAGTTGCCTAGGCTTACCTCCTGAGACTTCCAGCTGGCTGGCTCTATCCTGGTGTGCTGCACTCCGATAATCCTCTTCTCAGAGAGCCAGAGCCCACGCCTAACTATTGATCGCCCCTTACTTTATGGGAACCTAGGACAAGTGTACACACAGAGGCCCGCACACCGTATCTGTAAATATTTAACAATGAAAATGGAGCTTGCAGGCTGTTTCTTAGAATATGCCCATGAGCATGCCTTCCTGGTGATAGGGAAGGCCAGGTATGAATTTAGATTTTTTTTTTTTAATCCCCCAGAGTTTGTTTCAGTCTGAAGCATTGACATGCTAGAGAACAGGCTCCCATTTTCTCTGCTCCTTTCTTCTGATGACACCAAAAGGGGCCTTATGTGCTAACATGTGTATGCTACCCTCAACCCATTCATGTTTGTCTTGATCTGCTCTCTGGTCTGTCCTACCCCCAGCCAGCCCTCCCCCTGACAACAGAAACCTCATCCCATCACTCTGACCTTCCTCCCAAATTATTCTGTTAAAGTTTCTTTGTCTATGTGTTAATGTTAGGAGTCAGGGTCTGCAGGTGATTAGGTCACAAGGGTAGAGAGAGATCTCTCATGAATAGGATTTGTGCTCCTATAAACGAGGTGTGTGTGTGTGTGTGTGTGTGTGTGCACCCGTGCACGGTGAGGGCACTAGACAGTGGTTCTGTAGATAGAGGCACCTGCACCGAGCCTGATGGTCTGAACCTGATCCCACAGACCTACTTGGACAAAGGACAGAACTGACGCCCACACATTGTCCTCTGACCTCCACACTATGACAAGCACATGCTCTCCATCACACACATAGAATAAGTAAACAAAGAAAATTAATAAAATTAAGAGACTTGTGGGGAAGCTATCTAGCCTTTCACTTGGGTGAGCAAGAGATGCCACGGCATCCTGAAGACATACTAAATCGGCACATGCCACACTCAGTACTGAATCTTGAAGACCTACTAAAGCAGTACATGTCCCATACTGAAATCAGCAAGTGCCTTCATCTTGTACATCCCAGCCTCTAGAACCACACAGTTCTAGAAATAAATGAATAAACATCTGTGGCTTATAAATTATCCAGTCTCAAGTATTTGGTTATGGTAGCAGGAAAGGAGGTTTACATAGGCACTGGTGATGGGCTGAGGTCTGTCTCACAGGGAATTCTGGACTCTCAGGGTCCCAGAAAGGGGAGCACAAGCCCCAGGTTGGTCTCTCTTTGGTTTGGGGGATTCTTGTTCCATATGTACAGGCATGATCAGACTGCCCAGTTGTAAGTTTCTTTTTCATTTGTTTGTTTGTTTATTTTTGTCAGGTTCTCAATATAGATCAGACTGGCCTGAGGCTCACAACCCTCTTGTCTTAATTTTTCTAGGGCTGGGATTGCGCTGCATACCAGCACACTTGGCTAGATCATTTTTATCCCAGAGAGCAGATCAGCTTTTCTCAGAAGTGCTCCATGCCCTGTGAATGGTCAGTTCCCTTTTCCTCTTCCTGGACAGTTACTAGGTGCTTTTATTTGCATTTGTAACCGCCTATGATGTCTGTTTAAAACACTTTGCCAGGAAGTACCAGCACTGGCCAATCAGAGCACATGCCTACTCAGTGCTGTGGCAATCAGGCGTTAGCCTGTTTGTTGCTAGGCTATGGGGAGCACTGAAGAGAGGTCAGGGAAGTCCACTGGATGGTGAGCCTTGAAGAAAGAGGGCATTTGTCATCAATATGGAGATATTTTAATACTTTAACAATGCTACCGCTGAAGCTCTGGACATCGGCTCTGCATTCTGTGTTTTTCTTGCTTTTGTTAGTGGCAAGCATCATCTTCAGACAGTCCCAGTCCCTCTTGAGACTTAGAAGTGGTCCATGGTAAAGAAAGGCAGGTCTCCAAGGGGGCTCTTTCAGTTGAGAGAGGTCCCATTTGTCCTTTTCCCCTTTCTTCCTAAACTTGTCCTGCTTGGAGCAGCATTAGGACTCCAGCAGCCAACTGAGCAACCTTGAGGAAAGTCAGATGCTTTAGAAATGTAGAAAGCTCACGTCCCTGATGACTGGGCCAGCTTTAGACTGTCTACCTCTGGAATCACAGCTGTGCAAACCTCTGGAGTTAGGTCTATGATTAGCGCTTGTCTTGAAATGCTAACTTGTTTCTGGTCTAGTCCCCAGTGCCCGAGCCTCCTCAGAGCTGACCCAGGATAGGGAAGAAGAGAGAAAGGAAAGGCACGTGCTTCCCTCTTGAGAACTTAATTTTGTCCGTGAATCTTCAAAACCATTCTGGTCACCAGTGTAACTCACATCACTTTGAAAGGAGAGAGGACTGGTCTCAGAGATTGTGTGGTTTAGTAGACACAGATCTGGGGCCAATGCCTGGTTTTCAGGACCCAGGAAACCATGTCCTACTCTATCTGACACCACGTATTCGGAAGAAGGGTATTACAGGAAGGGTCCTTCTTAAATCGCTCATCTTTCTCCGTAAAGTCCTCTAGAAAAAGAACCAGAAAATCTCAAGAAGGCCACAGGTCAAGAGGATGAGGAGAAGCTGTGAGGCAGGCTGTAATGCCACCCCACACTGAGGGAATGGAGGCCTCTGAGACCTTAAAATGGCTGCCTGCTTTTGCAGGATTCTCAGGCTGCACCAGCCTGTGCTCTGAGCACTTGATCCCCTGAAATCTGACCTCAGAGGGCTGTCACAGTAGGAGGCGGCACATTAATTATCCTAAAGGTCACCACCAGATCTTTCTTGAAGCCTGAGCACCTGGAGCCTGAGTCCTCACCAGGGCTCAGGCCTCTGCCAGACTCCCTTCCATTCTCCCTGCATTTTAGGGGAGACCTGAGCTCTTTGAGGTCTCTGCTCCTGATATTTACTCTACTGAAGCCGAGTTAAGGGAGAGGGTTCTTTTTCCTGTCCTCTAATCTGTCCAGGAGGCTTGCAGAGGCCTCCTTCTCCCAGAGCAGAACAGGCACAGGACAGAACAATGGCTTTTCTGGGTACTTGAGAAAATCGATCGTACCCCATGCCACAGGACCTTCCCATGGCCTGGCAGGTTGGGGCCTAGCAGGTTTGGGCAGCCCGTTCTCTGTCCTGGACTCCCCTCTCAGATCATGGACCTACTGAGAAGTATCTCACCTCCCAGGACTCCCTGCCCCAGGCTCCCAGGCTGTGGAGATGGAAAGCAGACCTTCCTGACTGGTTAACTTCAGTAGAGATGCTAAGGCTCTCGTGGAGGCCACAGCCACTGTATTCTTTCCCTGTGTTCCTTGGGGATCTGGAGACTCCATACGGTTCTCATTTGCAGCTCGTTCTTGAGGAGGCCTCATTTCCTCACCACACACTCCTGATGTGGTCAGGGTCTCCGTCCTCCAACCCGTGGGGATGGGGGCAGGGCCTCCCCAGCACTGGCTTGCCTTCCCCACACCCCTCCTTTGGCCTCTGCCCTTTCTCTGCATCCTCCTCCCCCAACACCTCACGTCTTTCAATTCCTGCTCCCGCACCCAGGAGACTGTGGTCTGGACTGGGACTGACCGTTGCCTTGACAGAAATGCCCTTTCTAAAAGTTTTCCTCACTCTCTACCTAACCCGGCATGTGTGGAAAGTCTGGGGGTCGGGGGTATGAACACTACATACCATTGGATGGCGCCTCCTGAGGTCATGAGACCCACCAAAGTCCCAACAGAGCAGTTTGTCAAGCCTTCTCCAGCTAGAAGGCTCCAGTGGCCTTCATTTCCACACCTTTGCCTCTCTGCTCCCCAAACAACTTCCACTCCACACCTCTCAGAACTTTGATCTCTCAGGGAGCCAAGGGAGCTGCGAAGAGAAACGAAAAGAGCAGTGGGCCCTCGCTCTGGCTGAGTGATGGGTTTATTGTTCACCTCTCAACAAGGAGCAGGGAAAGGAAAAAAAGTGAGAGAGAGCAGAAGGGTCGAAGGCTCCCAGCCCACCGTTTTTTAGTGGCGGTGTACTTCATCTCTGTGCGCCTGTCTCCTTGTCTGTAAACGGGGCAAACGGGTGGAGTTCAGGGTGATACTGTGAGCACAACGCCAGGCGCAAAACTGAGCGCCGTTCTCACTAAGGTGTTAAGAGATGAGGGCTCAAAGTCACAGGGGACTTTCTCCTCCTGCACTGGCTTCTGCTTCAGGTCTAACCTCCACTTTCACTGGCCAGGTCTCATTCCAGAAGATTCTGTTCTCTTTATCGGCAGTTCTCTGGGTCTTGGTCAGCTAGGACCTGGCTGGGGCTCGGGGGGGTGGGGTGGGGGGGGTGCTTGCCTCAGTTGCCTGAGGTCCCTATAGCCCACAGAGAAAAGCCAGAGAGTAGGGCTTGCCCTCCGAGGCTGCCCCTTCAGGGTACTCCTTTTGTCTCAGGCTGGACCCAGGATGAATAGCTGTAATGAGGAGATCAAAGCAGTTTCCATGGGCTTGGCCTGAGGGGACCCCTTTGATGTGCCAGCATCCCTTCAACCCCCACTACCACCCTGGAGTCCTTGCTGTTCCTTCCGGTTTGTTCCCCAGCCAGGCCAGCAAGGCAAGCCGCGCCGGTGGCAGGGACCCATTTGTTTACTGAATCAGCAGCTATGGAGGTTAGCTTCGGTGCTGCTTGGTGTACTGCAGCAGGCCGGGCTGGTGAAACCCAGCAGGTTCCACTGAGCTTCTCTCACAAAAACGAAAAACAAAACAAAAGACAGAAAAAGGAAAAAAAAAAACCACAAAAACAGAAAATGTGAATCCCAATCTGTAAAGGAAGGATGCGCCAGCAAACACTGGCTGCCTGCCTCTGGGCTCTAATTAGATGCAGATCCTGCTGAGTCTCCCAGACCTTGGCCCAGGGAAGGCTGGGATAATCTCCACTCCACCAACACTCCCCCCTTTTTTTTCAACGGTAGGTGCTCCTGTTAGGGCTTACCTGAAGAGGTTGAAGTACTTTCCTTAGGGTCTGTGTGAGAGCCTCGGTGGGCCGGGCGGCTGCACTACCCATTGAGAAGGGAAGTGTGGTTGAGGCACACGGGCCCAGCAGGCCTCCCGCTCCTACCAGGCCACAGAGCTCCATTAGTCTGCTTCTGGGACTCTGGTCCCTCCTGCTAAAGTCCATAGTTCACTTGGTGGGGACATATCCCTTGCCAGAAGGAAACAGCTGTTCAGAGATTAAAAAAATATTTGAGAGAGCAATGCTAGGGAGGAGGGAGACCCTGTACCCCAACCTGTTCGAGGAAGCAGATAAATGGAGTCATCTAGCAACTGCTTGTTCACTATTCCCCACCCCTAACCCAACCCCCACCTTGCCTCCCACTGGGTTTGTAGCCCCGGCTGTCCTGGAACTCAGGCTGGCCTCAGAGAGCCTGCCTCAGAGAGCCTGCTTGATTCCTAAGTGCTGGGATTAAAGGCATGTGTCGCCCCCGAGACACACACACACACACACACACAAACACACTCACACACACACACACACTTCTCTGTATCTTGTGCTGGTCTGAAGGTCTAAAACTTCCTATGTAGCCCAGGCTGGACTCAAACTTTCAATTCTCACCCCCCACCCCGACTCCCACCCTCACTCCCATGCTGGGATGATAGACAAGCTTCACCATACCTACATAGCAACTATAAAGCTTTTACTAGGCAAGGGTTCAGGGAGTGGCTCTTGCTACAGCAGTGGGATTTATAGCCTTAGAAGCTAGGAGCACATCTGAACAGACAGAAACTCCTACCACAACTTGTATTGTAGGGGCCCAGGGACACAGAGAAGAGACAAGTATAACAAATAATAGAGAAATGCTACAGAAAAAGGACAAGGACGGAAAGGGAAGAGGGAGGGGACAGTGAGCTGCTAGGGCAGCGACTGTATTGAATAGGGTGATCAGAGAATCCTCTTGGAGGTGACAAGAGGAGGAAAGGCTGGGAAACAAAGCCCCAGTTCAGGTCCACTGGAAAAGCACTTCCAGCTCTTCCCACTAAGCCGGCTCTCTGGCCGCCATTATTTGTTTTTTGAGATAGGATCTTACTGTGTATTCCAGGCTGGTTGCCTCCAACTCAGACTCTCCTGACTCTACCTCCTGAGTGCCAAAAGTACAGGCGTGTGACACTGTTCAGCCAGTCACGGGTGTTTCTAGCATGCATGTTTCCAAATGCTCATGCAGAAGAAGGAAGCTTCAAAGATTCTGATATTGAGTTTCTGATACCTGCTGCTGAGTGTTGTGTATCCTGGTTGTCAGGCATACAGCATCCTCTTCATTCCAGGTGCTCTGTGTGTGTGTGTGTGTATGCGCGCGCGTGCTCTGTTCTGTTAAAAATAGGACAGAAAACAATGACAACACGAAGCACTGAGGTGACAGGTGGAGAGAGTGCAGCGCCTCCCAGGATCAGAGGAGCCAGAAGGCTTTCTGGAGAGATATTTGAGCAAGAGTTTGGCAGGCGAACAGAGAGAGAAGGGCAATTCCCAGAGCTGAAAGACCTGTGTACAGGATTGAAAACTTGAAACAGCAGAGAAGCTAGGTAATCCAGGGAGGATCGCACACCCATGTACACTGTGCTATGTATCTGAGGTTAGGGAGGAAGCTGCCGGGAGAACAGAGCAGGCTGGAAACCTGCTACTCACAATCCCCCCAGCTCCATACTCCAGTCCCTCTCTATTTATACCTACGGCTCATGATGAGAACTCAAAGATGGATCTGGGGGTCACTGGACCACTTTGCCTCTTCTCTTTTCTTTTTGTATTCATCTTGATGTGGCTATTTCCTCTGGGTATGACATGCCCATAACCATCACGCAGCAGAGAAGGCTGTCCTAATGGCCCCAGCAAGGCTGCTTAAATGAGTGGGAAAAAAACTCATGATGCCATTTTGCCCGAGAAATTTTTTCGTGGCCTTGAGCATATAGGCATATAAAATAGCCACACATATCAAATATTTGCTGATAAATAATAAACAAGTTATTTTAAAACAAGTCCTTGGTGTATACATCATGTTACCATTTATTAAAGATGGAAGGAAATTATACTAGTGAGATGGATGGGCTATTTATTTTTACATTAAAAATTAAATTTTGGCTATATCGTTAAAGCCAAGAACACCATTTCCACACATATATGTACTAGGAAAGAGTAAAAGTATGTTTCAAGCATCTTCAGAAATTGTCGCAAATTCTGTCCAAAGCCAAATGCCACGTAATTTAAAAATGAAACTCAAAGTATCAACTCAAACATCAATTAAAATATTATATTGGTGGTGGTAGTGGGGTGCACATGCCACACCACTTTGGGGACAACCTTGTAGACGTTCACCTTTGGATAGGGTCTGAGGATCAAACACACGCCACCAGACTTTGACCCACTGAGGCATCTTGCTAGCCCCACAGAAAACAAAACAAAACAAAACAAAACAAAACAAAACAAAACAAAACAAAACACCCTTCTGGGGCTGAGGAAGTGGCTCAGTCAGGTAAAGTGCCTGTCACACAGGCATAAGGACCTGAGTTTGGATTCCCAGCATCTATGTAAGAGCTGGGCATGCCGGCTTCCCCATGTGTCCTGGCTGGGAGGGTTGAAAGGTGGAGAGAAGCTGACCTGCAGAGCTCACCGCTGTGGTCTAGCTAGCTCACCGCTGTGGTCTAGCGAGCGAGCCCTATAGGCTTAGCAAGAGACCCCATTTCAAAAACCAAGGCAGAATGGCTGAAGAGATTACTTGACAATCCCACGCATTGGGCATTAGAGTCCAACATACAGGTACCAAGCTGGGCTTCCATACAGTTCTGAACAGGGTAGACAGAGGCAGGAGGCTCACTGGGGATGGCTGGCTCCTAGTCTGGCAAGGAAAATAGGAACCCCAGGTTCAGGTAGAGATTGTACCTCAAGGCGGATAGGCATAAAAGGATATACAACATTTGTCTTTTGTCCTCTGTGTATGTTTACAGATACATACACCTGCACACACACATTCACATACACTCAAACACATGGGGGTGGACCTAAACACCAACAAAACCAAAATGGAGAGCAAATACAGGAAGACTCCTATAGTGGTTTCAGTGAGATGTCCCCCATAGTTTCTGGCATTTGAATACTTGCTTGTATTAAATATTTGGTGACACTGGGGAAGCTTAGGAAATGTCGCCTTGTTGGAGGAAATGTGTCCTTGGAGGTAGACTTTGAAAACTCAAAGACTTGTGCATTTCAAGTTATCTTTCTCTCGTTCATGCTTCTGGTCCAAGATGGGAGCTCTCAGCTTCCTACTCCTGTTACTGAGTCTGCCACTGCTGCCTCTGCCACACCATGATAGTCTCTGACCCTCTGGTCCTGTAAGCCCAAATAGGCCCTTCCTTCTGTAAGTTGCCTTGGTCACCGTGTTTCATCTTGGCAATAGCAAAGTAACGAATGCACAACCCTGGGCTCCAGAGGCACAGGTGCATACATGCATATACTCTACACACAGAAAAATAATGACACCAAACATCTAAGCCAGTAGAATCTAAAGATATACTAATTGATGCTTCTATGAGGAATGGCAGTAGTGAGGAAATATTGAAAGCCTTTGTTTTCTATAATTAAACCACTCTGCTTGGATAAGAGCAGAAGCTATTATGTATATAAAGTGCATGCACAGTGCAGAGTGCTCTTGTGGGTGCAGAGCCAAAGGCTCCCGAGAAATCTCATAATACAGTGCAGGGAACATTGCCAGGAGCACCTTGGAGTCCTTGTTTCGTGTTTCATTTATTCTTGGCTGTTGTGTGCTCAGCAAACTTGTACCATTGCCAAATTTTTCACAACCCCAGATTCAGTGTGTGTGTGTGTGTGTGTGTGACTCTGTGGTGTTCGATCCACCATCTGAGAGAGTAGAACTGGCTGGAGAGATGGCTCAGCGGGCAAGAGCACAGGCCACTCTTCCAGAGGATCTGGGTTCAATTCCCAGCACCCACATGGCAGCTCACCACTGCCTGTAACTCCAGCTCCAGAGGATCTGACACCCTCCCACAGATGTACATGTGGGCAAAACACCAATACACTTAGAATAAAAATAAATTATATATATACACATACATACATATATACATACATACATATACACATACATATATGTATGTAGAACTTGGCACTTCCTTGATGCTACAGTTATAGCAAAGAACTATACAGTGAGAGCTAAATCTGTTGCAGTCGAGCTAATGATGCTCCCTCAAAGAAAGCAGGGTTGGGGAGGGTCACCCCCAGACCCTTATTTGAAGCTTCACTCACCACTCTATCCTGCCTCTCAGCTGCCCAAGGTTGTGTGTGCACGCCTGAGTGCATACCAGTGGGAGGTTGACTGAGGAGCGGGCTCTAGCTGTGCAGTTTTTTATTGGTTGTTGACCATGGTGACTTTTGTCATGAGGGGGCGCTTTTGTGTGATGCAGCTGCTTTTGAGTCACTCATGTTTCTGTAAGTAACCCCAATAAATTCATTGGTCCACCATGCTGGGCTTGGGTGGAATCTTTTCTTTGGTCTGTTGGTACCCTATTTGGGAAGAATAGATGCTTTTCTGTGCTTCCTTGTTACCAAAGTTGTTAGGATCAGAGCCTGGTCCTAGCCATCTATCAAGCTAGACCTGGTCACTCACCCTCAACATGCCAATTGAAGAGATAAGTAATTATGAAAGAAAAGCAGTAAGCTGGGTGGTGATGGTACACACCTTTGATCCCAGCATTGGAGAAGCAGAGGCAGAGGCAGGCACATTTCTGAGTTTGAGGCCAGCCTGGTCTACAGAGTGAGTTCCAGGACAGCCAGGGCTGCACAGAGAAACCCTGTCTCAAAAAAAAAAAAATCAAAACAAAACAAAACAAACAAAAACACAACAAAAAACCCCAAAAAACAAAACAAGCAAATAACAAACAAACAAACAAAAAACAGCGAGAGGAGGTTTCTTCTGTGTCCTCATGTTAAGGAGTGGAGGAAGAGGTCCATGCTCCGGGTGCTGATGTGAGGATGAGCTTTGAATAGAGGATAAAGGATAAGCATCATTAAGCAGTTCTGGCCAAGGTGTACCCCCCACCTCTCCCCAGCTTTAGTCTCTCCAGTGGTCTGACAAGTTGTCAGAAAGCTGTGAAATCTCTTTCCAGGAGACAAGGTCCTCCTCTGGCTGGCACCAGGCTTCAGCCTTTCCCCTCTCCCAGCGTGAGATTCCTGGGAGGAAAATTTCCATTTCTTAAGGCCTATTGTCTCAATAGTCTGATAGCCAAAGGCATCTATACCAAGGCAGCCCCTTTCCTCAGACAGAGGCTGGCAAGGGTGTCTCCTACAAGGATAACTGTCCAGGAGTTATGGCCAAATCTGATAATCCAAGAGAATCTATACATCAAAACCCTTGCCAGCGGAGGCTCTCCCTCTCTGACTTACTCTTCACTGCCAGGGGGGGATCCAATGCAAAGAACCGCTTTGCACCAAAGTCACATGTAGGGCTTCCAGGGGATAGCATGTATACATAACTTTGAAGTCACCATTTGGCCTCCTCTAGACACTAGAGGTGGAGTTGGATTTGTCAATGATCTTGTTAAGATAGCTGGGACAGTTAGGAAACTCTGGGTGTCCCCAGGCTGCCATACTGGGAGAAAAGACAGGCTACATGGGAAGATCATGCAATATGTTCTGACCAACAGCTCTAGCGAAGGTCCCAGTGACAGGCCTAGCTGACCACAGCAAAGAGGGCTCTAGATGATCCCAGCCCTGGCTGTGCAATCAGCCACTAGAGAAGGGGCTCTCAAGATGAGGCTGAAGCCAGGGAATCTGTGAGTTTGAATACTGGCTACTAATAAACTCTTTTTTTTAAAGACTTATTTTTTTTTAATTTTTATGATTTGCCCATCTATGTATATCCATGTGAGTGTATGCAGATGCCCAAGAAGATCAAAGAAGGATCTCTTAGATCTAGAATTAGAGGCATTTCTGAGCCAATGAGGCACTGCAGGGATCCAAAGTCAGTTCCTTAGGATAAATCAGTAAGTGTTCTTCACTGCAAAGCCATCTCTCCTTCCCTGCTTCTCAGTTTTGGGGTGTTTTATTTGTCTGAGATAGAGTCTCATGGTGTTCAGGCTGGCCTAGAACCTGAGATTTAGATGAGTGTGGCTTTGAACTCCTGATCCTCTTGGTGACCTAGCCTCAAGAGTTCTGGAATTGTTGGGATTACAGGTATGTGCCACTATACCCGGCTTGGGGTGAGTGTTCACACAGCAATGGAATCCAGAACATTGTTCTCATTTAGAGACAGAGACAGAGTCAGAGAGAGGGATGGGAG